ACAGTAAATGGGACCCGGGGTAGTTACTTGAACGGCATCGGATAAAGTAATTTCCGAAATGTCAGCATAAACAGGGGGCCAAACAGTGTATTATTATTCCTATGGCGCCTGTAATTATTTGGAGTAATATAATCTTAAATTATTATTTAACTTCCATTTTTGGTCCCCCCCCCCACGATGGTCAGCTCGTGGCTTCCTCATCTGAGAGTTGGAAGAGAGAAGTATATGTTAGGTGCGGACACGGCACTCTTGCAGGTGTGTGATGCGGTGCGGACACGGCACTCTTGCAGGTGTGTGATGTGGTGCGGACACGGCACTCTTGCAGGTGTGTGATGCAACATACACGAACCTTAGCTAAGAATTTGTCAACTTCACAGTGGTGGTGTTGGAGTGACGGACGGCAGCAACTACAGCTCCTGACTATGGTTTAGTTAAGAAGGAAGTATCCCGTGGCCTGGTAGGCAACGATCTCGCTTCACACGCACACACTGTCCGTGGTTCGATCCCCGGCAAGAATAGAAACACTGGACGTGATTCCTTACACCTTATCAATCACGAAAGTAGGTACCTTAGGTAAAGGACACAAGTGCAATTAGTGTGACATTTTATTTCGGCAACGTTTCACTCTCCAGGAGCTTTGTCAAGCCGTCAGAAACGCCGTCAGAATAAAATGTCACAACAGTTGTATTTGTGACCCTTTACCTAACATATTGTCGGTTATTCTACCAACGTTAATACAAGTAGGTACCTGGATGTTAGTCGACTGGTGTAGGTCGCATCCTGGGAGACAAGACTGAAGGACCACAATGGAAATAAAAGACAGTCTCTTGATGACGTACTAACTTTCTTGGGTTATCCTGGGCAGCTAACCTCCGGGGTTAAAAATCGTATCATAACCTATCCATTAAAACATCTGACCAACATCTGACTAGTAGTCAGCAAGACACGAAGTAAAGCAGTCTCGTCTCAGCGGTAGACCATCTTCCAAAAGATTCCTGATGATTTACAAATCCTCAGTGGCGCCACGCTATATTATTGCGGCTGTGTTCCACAGGTTAAGAATTTATTCAACATATCTCCTCCCAACTTGTCTTTTGGTCTCCTCGCTGAATTATTTGATAATGTCAAGTTTCCTTTCTAATTGTCAGCTTTTGGGGGGAAAAGTTTCACTCTGATAAAGTTTGTTCCAAAACGTTGGTCTGGCTCCACACAGAAATAGACAAGTTTACAGTGAAGATATGATACCTAAAGAACAATTTTCTATGTTTGCGCTGAAACAAGATAGAAAACGAATATTACTGTATTGTGTAACTACAGAAATCACCGACATCTGCGTCTTTTGCCGTTTTTATTACCAAAAATTTTACTGGAGCCAGAGTGATTTAGCAACCTACCTGGATGAGTAATGCAAAGTGAAGGTCAACTTTACATATTCTTAATTTGTGGATCACTTATTAAAGTGCAGTTAAGTTAGAAGTAAAGCCTATCGGCTATAATGGAATGAAAATGCGGTAATTAACCTAGATATTATCAAAACATATTTTAATTGGTAAACTAGGATTAAAATAAAGTATCAGTGTATTTACACTGAGGTACACAAGTATCAGTGTGAGTACACTTTACACTGAGGTACACAAGTATCAGTGTGAGTACACTTTACACTTAGGTACACAAGTATCAGTGAGAGTACACTTTACACTGAGGTACACAAGTATCAGTGTGAGTACACTTTACACTGAGGTACACAAGTATCAGTGTGAGTACACTTTACACTGAGGTACACAAGTATCAGTGTGAGTACACTTTACACTGAGGTACACAAGTATCAGTGTGAATACACTTTACACTGAGGTACACAAGTATCAGTGTGAGTACACTTTACACTGAGGTACACAAGTATCAGTGTGAGTACACTTTACACTGAGGTACACAAGTATCAGTGTGAGTACACTTTACACTGAGGTACACAAGTATCAGTGTGAGTACACTTTACACTGAGGTACACAAGTATCAGTGTGAATACACTTTACACTGAGGTACACAAGTATCAGTGTGAGTACACTTTACACTGAGGTACACAAGTATCAGTGTGAGTACACTTTACACTGAGGTACACAAGTATCAGTGTGAGTACACTTTACACTGAGGTACACAAGTATCAGTGTGAGTACACTTTACACTGAGGTACACAAGTATCAGTGTGAGTACACTTTACACTGAGGTACACAAGTAATCAGTGTGAGTACACTTTACACTGAGGTACACAAGTATCAGTGAGAGTACACTTTACACTGAGGTACACAAGTATCAGTGTGAGTACACTTTACACTGAGGTACACAAGTATCAGTGTGAGTACACTTTACACTGAGGTACACAAGTATCAGTGAGAGTACACTTTACACTGAGGTACACAAGTATCAGTGAGAGTACACTTTACACTGAGGTACACAAGTATCAGTGAGAGTACACTTTACACTGAGGTACACAAGTATCAGTGAGAGTACACTTTACACTGAGGTACACAAGTATCAGTGAGAGTACACTTTACACTCAGGTACACAAGCATCAGTGTGAGTACACTTTACACTGAGGTACACAAGTATCAGTGAGAGTACACTTTACACTGAGGTACACAAGTATCAGTGTGACTACACTTTACACTGAGGTACACAAGTATCAGTGTGAGTACACTTTACACTCAGGTACACAAGCATCAGTGTGAGTACACTTTACACTGAGGTACACAAGTATCAGTGAGAGTACACTTTACACTGAGGTACACAAGTATCAGTGTGACTACACTTTACACTGAGGTACACAAGTATCAGTGTGAGTACACTTTACACTGAGGTACACAAGTATCAGTGAGAGTACACTTTACACTGAGGTACACAAGTATCAGTGTGAGTACACTTTACACTGAGGTACACAAGTATCAGTGTGAGTACACTTTACACTCAGGTACACAAGCATCAGTGTGAGTACACTTTACACTGAGGTACACAAGTATCAGTGAGAGTACACTTTACACTGAGGTACACAAGTATCAGTGTGACTACACTTTACACTGAGGTACACAAGTATCAGTGAGAGTACACTTTACACTGAGGTACACAAGTATCAGTGTGACTACACTTTACACTGAGGTACACAAGTATCAGTGTGAGTACACTTTACACTGAGGTACACAAGTATCAGTGTGAGTACACTATACACTGAGGTACACAAGTATCAGTGTGTCTACACTTTACACTGAGGTACACAAGTATCAGTGTGAGTACACTTTACACTGAGGTACACAAGTATCAGTGTGAGTACACTTTACACTGAGGTACACAAGTATCAGTGTGAGTACACTTTACACTGAGGTACACAAGTATCAGTGTGAGTACACTTTACACTGAGGTACACAAGTATCAGTGTAAGTACACTTTACACTGAGGTACACAAGTATCAGTGTGAGTACACTTTACACTCAGGTACACAAGTATCAGTGTGAGTACACTTTACACTGAGGTACACAAGTATCAGTGTGAATACACTTTACACTTAGGTACACAAGTATCAGTGTGAGTACACTTTACACTGAGGTACACAAGTATCAGTGTGAGTACACTTTACACTGAGGTACACAAGTATCAGTGTGAGTACACTTTACACTGAGGTACACAAGTATCAGTGTGAGTACACTTTACACTGAGGTACACAAGTATCAGTGTAAGTACACTTTACACTGAGGTACACAAGTATCAGTGTGAGTACACTTTACACTCAGGTACACAAGTATCAGTGTGAGTACACTTTACACTGAGGTACACAAGTATCAGTGTGAGTACACTTTACACTTAGGTACACAAGTATCAGTGTGAGTACACTTTACACTGAGGTACACAAGTATCAGTGTGAGTACACTTTACACTGAGGTACACAAGTATCAGTGTGAGTACACTTTACACTGAGGTACACAAGTATCAGTGTGAGTACACTTTACACTTAGGTACACAAGTATCAGTGTGAGTACACTTTACACTGAGGTACACAAGTATCAGTGAGAGTACACTTTACACTGAGGTACACAAGTATCAGTGTGAGTACACTTTACACTGAGGTACACAAGTATCAGTGAGAGTACACTTTACACTGAGGTACACAAGTATCAGTGTGACTACACTTTACACTGAGGTACACAAGTATCAGTGTGAGTACACTTTACACTTAGGTACACAAGTATCAGTGTGAGTACACTTTACACTTAGGTACACAAGTATCAGTGTGAGTACACTTTACACTGAGGTACACAAGTATCAGTGTGAGTACACTTTACACTTAGGTACACAAGTATCAGTGTGACTACACTTTACACTGAGGTACACAAGTATCAGTGTGGGTACACTTGTCCCAACTATTCTATTGCACCACTTCTTCCTTTCCCATTTCCTTAAAATAAGAGATTGTGTTCGGATTTTTAACCCCGGAAGGTTAGCTACACATGATAACCCAAGGAAAACAGTGCATCATCGAGAACTGTCTTATTTCCTTCAATATCCCCCAGGATGCGACCTACACCAGTCGACTAACACCCAGGTACCTACTTGCTTGCCAGGTGAACGGAACAACAGTTGTTAAGGAAACACACGCCCAATGTTTCCACCCTTGCTGGGGATCGAGCCAGGGACAATTAACTAAGTTTATTTAGGCACAGGTACACCTAAGTAAACTATCATACATAGTGTAAATTATCAAGGATAACTCCCCGAAGAAGTCAAAGTGACTTACATCCATTGTGGTTCTTGTAATATCTTATTATATAAACCTTATAAGTTAAAATAGCTAAGTAATTGCGTGAGAATTAATTACCATTTTCTTATTCATCTGTCCATGTCGTCCAGCAGCTCACAAGACGACAATCTGTATTTAAGACAGTAAAAGTTTCGTCTGGCTTATTACCCCAAGAAAGCTAAGCAATGTGGCTTATTTGCGAGCATTATAGGTGACGTACCTGTGTGTGGTGTGCAAGGTGTGGCAGGGAACACCGTTGGTCATCTATACGGTAGTTAGACATGCGTTCCAACAGGTCCAACATATAATCCCCCGTTGTCTCGCCCTAATGAGGGGAAAATGAGGGAAATTTGCTTGTAAAATAAAATAAAAACAGGGAAAAAAATCGTTTGTGATATTAGAAAAAAAAGTAAATGATAAAAATTATATACATTTATATGTGATAAAAAATAAAAAAAAATGGTTGTAATTTAAAGTTTTACAAAACTGATTCTTATGCAAAAATAGAGGACAAAAATAATTTCACAAAAAAAGGTGAAATTGGTATTAAAAGTGTGATACACTTTACAATGTTAAGATCAACTGGGCTAAAATCACTTGCGATACGTAAATACAAGATAAAATTAGATATTAAAAATCGTCAATTGGTTTATACGATATTTTATATATCGGTTGTGATTAAAAAAGTGATACAAGCTAAAAAAAATTAATAATAATGGAAAATGTTTTAGTGAAATATCGATACAATGTTAAGATGGATGACATTCAAAACTAAGATTGTTTAATTGTAAATAAATTGTGTAAAATTATAAGAACAAAACAGTATAAGAAAAATTATGATAAAAGAATATAATAGTAACTAAATTATGAGAATAATATACATGATAAAATTAGAAAATTACAGGAAAGAAGAAGTGATTAATTAAATTTTTTATGGAAATATAAGACTAACGAAAAAAATTTATATATAAATAAATAATTGCATGCAATAAATTATATAAAATATTAAGAGCAGAGAGAATTGTAACTAAAGTGAATAATGAAAAAAAAGTTACAATAATGAAGGAAACATTAACAGGCGAGTCAATAAAAAAAAAAACATGCGAAAAGTTACATAGATAACAAAAAAACATAATCCATGCAGTGACATCGAATATTCGAGGTTTGGCAGTGACAGCGACCCAGGGAAACATGACAGTGACCAACACCTTAACAAAAAACATAACAAGCTCGGAAATTATAACTTAAATTATAAACCAAAGAGTTCTTCTTCCCTCATTTACCGTCAGAATCATGCCAACATTCCAGCATTACCTTCGTGGGTTCACAACTGGATGATCCTTCCTGTAGTCAGATTTACATTTTACAGATTTTACTCTCCACATGAGACTTAGTGGTCGATGTTATATGTTATCAGCTTTAATATTCCTCAGGTTTACCCATATATGAGATACATGAGAAATACTTGAGGGTCAGGCACCTCACACAGGCACTTTTATAAGTATCTGCAACAAGTGTTACTGGAGGAACTGTAGAACGAACTTCGTGAGAAGCAGTTACTGTAGATACAAGTAAATAATATTGTAAATATCCATCGTCCAAAACTGGAACATTTTACCAGCAGATAAAAGAAATACTTTCTCCACAACAAAGACATTACTTTCAAAAGGAAACCGAATTAGTTCCCGCAAAATGTGCCGGATTAGCCAGGCTGTAAAAGCTACGTAGGCGCGCGGATCGCGGGCAGCAACAGTGGGGTTGGTCATAAAAGTATGAAAGTTTGATCCCAAGACGGCCAACAAGAACAGAACTCTTGAAACACCACCAACACAGCCGCAACGACCCAACCTGAAGATGGTATCGGGAATCAGCAACAGACTTAAGGAATTTATTAAGTTTCCTCTTGGTAATTAATCTGTTGGTAATTACTCTAATGGACTATGGAAGGTTGTTGAAAAATCTTGGTCCCTGTAATGTGTTACCTTGTAATGTAATCGTTGCATGCCTCCTTTTCATTAGCATATTTTGCACCGTCTGCCAAGCATCTTGATTTCGTAAGTGTGATTTCTCTATGTTAAGATTTTGAATTAGTTCTTCCAGAATATTCGAGTTGTAAATTATGATGCATCTTTCTTGCTTACATTCCACTGAGAATAGTTCCAGGGGACTTAACTGTTCCTGTTCCTAATAATTAAGCAGTGAAGCTTTCTGTACGTTCTGTAAATCTATAATTTTGCCTGCTTTAAAAGTGACTATTATAGAGCATAGAACAATATTCCTGTCTAGAGAAAATAAGCGACTAAAAGTGTCATCACAGGCTTGGCAACTCTTGCGATTGAGATACTGAAAGTGTTGCAATCCTTGAAAGTGAGACCAGACATCACTAAGTCCCTCACATCTGTCTTCTCCTGTACCGAGTTGATCCCAGAGTCTATAATCTGTCCTCGTTTTTGTTTCTCCAATTTTTACCATACCGGAATAACTGAAATTTGTCATCATTAAGTGAAATATTTTCTGTGACTTCGTCTATATCACCTTGGACATTTGCTAAGTCCTCAAGGATACGTTGAACATGATGTTGAGAAAAGGAAATGGGAAACTGTGCCTTGGGGAGCAGCGCTTGTCACTGTAAATGACCTGATCTTCATTTCAGTGAATCGAACCTGATTGTTTCCCTTAACCCCCCCCTCCAGAGGCGCCACAGCGTCTGGGGGATTGTA